GACCGCCCGGTTGCAGGGTCCATGCAGGTGATGAACAAGACCCCGCCCCCCCACGGGTCTGCCCCCAGTCTCACCTCCGACCGCCCGGTTGCAGGGTCCATGCAGGTGATGAACAAGACCCCGCCCCCCCACGGGTCTGCCCCCAGTCTCACCTCCGACCGCCCGGTTGCAGGGTCCATGCAGGTGATGAACAAGACCCCGCCCCCCCACGGGTCTCCCCCCGCAGTCTCACCTCCGACCTCCCGGTTGCAGGGTCCATGCAGGTGATGAACAAGACCCGGCGCATCATGGAGCAGGGCGGCGCGCACTTCATCAACGCCTTCGTGACCACGCCCATGTGCTGTCCCTCGCGCTCCTCCATCCTCACCGGCAAGTACGTCCACAACCACAACACCTACACCAACAACGAGAACTGCTCCTCGCCCTCCTGGCAGGCGCAGCACGAGAGCCGCACCTTCGCCGTGTACCTCAACAGCACCGGCTACCGCACAGGTGAGGGGGCGGTGGGCGGGGCCGGGGAGTGACAGCCGGGTCCTCCCCTAAGTTCTGGCCTGGGCTGCCCTGAGCGTGGTCCACGCACTGCTGGGGGTTGGGGGGGTACCCAGATGATTCTAGACAGTAAGTAGAACCGCTGTCTTTTCATGTCTATGCTGCACGTTTTATTTCTATGTATTAGAAAGATAGGCTCCTCTTGTCTTCAGGAGTGATACAAAGTGACCTTTTCAAAGGAATGTATGTTCCAAAGGAAAGTGAGTTCATTTAAAATATGGGTTATAAGGCCGGGCGCAGTGGCTCAATTCCAGCACTTTGAGAGGCCGAGGCGAGAGGATTGCCTGAGCCCCTGGGTTGGAGACCACCCCAGGCAACTTGGCAAGACCTTGTCTCTACAATAATTCAAAAATTAGCTGGGTGTGGTAGCGCTCGCCTATAGTTCTGGCTACTTGGAAGGCTGAGGCAGAAAGATCACTGGAGCCCAGCAGGCGGGCGCTGGGGTGGCCACGAGTGTGCCCCTGTGCTCCAGCCTGGGCGACGGAGTAAGACTCCAACTCAAAAACAAAAACAAAAATTAGGGATTGTAGTACAAGAAGGCCACAGAGCACCTGTGCCTGAGTCCACATTCTCTGTTAATTGTTATTAAAGCTACCAGGGCCTGTTTTATTGACTCCAAACCCCCAGCTGGGAAAAAGGTTCCAGAACATGGCAGTAGGGAATGGGAATTCAAATGGGTGTGGACAGTGGAGGGGAACATGCAGGACTGTGTCGCCGCTCTCTACGGGGTGGTAGCCTGGCATGGGTGGGCTGTTCACACTTCTGTGGGATACCCTCCTGCCTGTAGGAGGTACCGGTGGCGTTGGTTCCCAGGAGACAGCGGCCCTGGCTCCTGTCTGCTCATCTTGCATAAGACCTTCTGGGGGGTCCGAAGGCTCACCTATCTGACTGGCTGCCTGGAGTAGAGACGCAGTGACAGGACAGTCCCTTACCTCAGCACCATTGCAAAATCCTCCAGACTCCATTTCGCTTGCTTTAATTAAAGATAAATAAATACTCCCCACCTCGGGTATGAAGCTGCAGCAGTTGTGCAATCAGATATTGTGACTGGGATGTTGCAACCCCCAGGAAGTTGCATTCAAGTGTCAAGGGGTTTGTGTGGGTGGGTCGGTGGATGGGAGTGATGTCAGGGAAGGACAGATGCCCCTTCCGCTGGGTTCACACGCTGAACCTGTGGCCCTACAGTGTGGGCAGGCGAGGGTGCTTTGGGGTAGGGAGCAAGCCAGTGAGATGTGGCTTCTTAAGATTCAAACAGAATCCCTAGAAAGGCGGTCCTGCTGAAAACCAGGACAGCCTCGTCTCTGTACCTCGTTCCTGCGTGTCCCACGTGCCATCATGCAGAAGCAGAGCCTCGTGGTTCCGGGGTCTCTGCAGAAAGCTGTGAGTGACAGAGGTTACTCTGGGCCACCACCCTAGATGGTTAGGGGGGCTGGGTGTTGCTAGCAGAAGCGGGGCAGGTGGGGCCTACAGCAAAGACCGGCCCTTCTTAGGGGCACCTGCCACCAAGGTCCTGAAATTAAAGCCACGCATGCTCAGAGCCACCAACATTCCAGATAACATTTTTTTTGAGTCAGTGCAGTGGCAAGATCACAGCTCCCCACAGCCTCGATCTCCTGGGTTCAAGCAATCCTTCCACCTCAGCCTCCCAACTAGCTGGGACCACAGGCGCACACCACCACCCAGATAATTTTTTAATTTTTTGTAGAAATGAGATCTCACTATGTTGCCCAGGACTCAAGCAGTCCTCTCACCTTGGCCCCCCAAAGTGTTGGGATTACAGGCATGAGCTACCACACCCAGCCCAAATATTTTTAAATCTTAATTTTTAGCTGAAATCTCCTGATTGTAAATATGTTGGCAAAACTCGGTTTTTAAAAAATGTACACTGTGGGCCAAAGAAAATATGTCTGAGGCCTGGGTGTGGCTCATAGATTCTCTTGTAACACGCTCTGGCTGAACAGTCTGTGAGGAAACCCTTGGGGTGGATGGTTCACAGGAACAGAAACCCTGAAAGTGTTCTCGTTAATTCTCCCCATTTGACAGCCAGGGCAGTGCAACCCAGAAAAGAGATTTGCCCAGAGTCATGAAATGAGGTCGTGTAGCAGAATCAAAATTGAAAGTGGCCAGGCATGGTGGATAATACCTGTAATCCCAGTGCTTTGGGAGGCCAAGGTGGGGGGATCACTTGAGACCAAGAGTTTGAGACCCGTCTGAGCAACATGCCTGAAGCCCCAGCTACTTAGGAGGTTGAGGCAGGAGGCTCACTGGATCCCAGGAGTTCGAGGCTACAGTGAATGTGACTGCCACTGCTCTCTGGCCTGGGCAACAGAACGAAACCAAATCTCTCTTTTTAAAAAAAGAAAATGGAGCTGGGTGCGGTGTCTCACGCTTGAATCCCAGCACTTGGGGAGGCCAAAGAGGGAGAATTACTTGAGCTCAAGAGTTTGAAAACAGCCTAGACAACATAGTGAGACCTTGTTTCTACAAAAAAATTTTTAAAACTAAGGCTGGGCATGGTGGCTCATGCCTGCAATCTTAGCACTTTGGGAGGAAGAAGTGAGAGGATTGCCTGAGCCCAGGGGTTTGAGACCAGCCTGGACAATTTAGCGAGACCTCATTTCTACAATAAATTAAAAAAAATAAAATTAGCCAGGCATGGTGACATGCACCTGTGGTTCCAGCTACTTGGAAGGCTGAGGTGGAAGGATTGCCGGAGCCCAGCAGGTTGCTGGAGTGGCTGTGAGCGTGCCACAGCACTCCAGCCTGGGTGACAGAGTGAGACTCCAACTCAAAAAAATAAAAAATAAGAAAATTAACCAGGCATGGTAACGTGCACCTGTAGCCCCCTTACTTGGGAGAGTGAGACCCCAACGATAAATAAATAAATAAATAAATAAAGGAAAGCAAGGCCATGGGAATTTGGCGGGGGGCGGGTATGGGCATTGTGTCCCTCAGACTGAAAGGAAACTCATATATCCTGTGGTCTTGGGGGGGGCTCGTGGTTGGAGCTAAAGCCTCGTGTTTCAAAGTCATACAGATGACACAAGAAAGGGAGTCATCTCGAGAATAAACAGCCTTTTAAAATTGACTTCCCAAACCTTATCCTTGAATTTACACAAGTCGCCGAAAAGCTGTCTCCTGAGAGAACTGCTTTCCTCCAGCGATGTTCAAGTATTATTCCCTGGTGAAGACTGAGAGCACAATGTCAAGTGTACACATGGAACAGTAAAACTGCCATTGGGAATTGTATTCCTCGAGTCGGCATCTCACTCTGCTGCCCAGGCTGGAGTGCAGTGGCACGCTCACAACCACCACAGCTTTAAAATTGACTTCCCAAACCTTATCCTTACCTGCTGGACTCTGCCTCAGTCTTCCAAGTAGCTCGAACTATAGTCACACGCCACCATGCCTGGCTAATTTTCTGTTTTATTGTAGAGATGAGGTCTCGGCAAGTTGCCCAGGCTGATCTCGAACCCCTGGACTCAGGCAATCCTCTCACCTCTGCCTCCCAAAGTGCTGGGATTATAGGCTTGAGCCACCACTCCTGGCCTTATTCACTATATTTCCAATGTCCCTCCATACGAGGAATCCCATTGCAGCCTCACTTTCAGAACTCAGGGCCTCAAAGACATCTGTTTACTCTGATGAACTTGTGTGCTCCTGGTTATTAAATAACAAGATCTGTGTGCCCTGTACACCTTCCCTCTTTGACCTGGCAGCTAGGAAGCACCTGTTTGAGTTTTTGAGTTTTATGTTAAGTTGCTGTTCAAAGTGAAAACATTTTAAAGATCTCAATACATGGATATCAGTTATACTGATCAATGTCTATTGATTGGGAAAATGATTTTTAAAAAAAACTAGAATGAATTAAGAATACCTTTCTTTCTTTCTTTCTTTCTTTCTTTTCTTCCTTTTTTTTTTTTTTTTTTTGAGTTGGAGTCTCACTCTGTCGCCCAGAATGGAGTATAGTGGCCACTCCCGGCCACCACAGCCTCAACCTGCTGGGCTCCGGTGATCCTTCCGCCTCAGCCTTCCAAGTAGCAGGAAT